CTGATATGAGGCTGTATCTCCTTGTTTGTATTTTCCCAGATAATCATGAAGTCATTGTCATGAGAGGGTGTGGCCAAAGAGAAGAGCACATGGCTTCTTTTGAGGTCTGTAAATGACCTGTAGGTGTTAGGAAGACATTATCATGCCTTATACTTTTCACAGTAAAGGACAGTGTGTTTTTAGTACATTTTGGACAGTCGGTGTTACCTGTGACAGACAGTTACGAAGCTGAAATCCTGTTTTGTTGGGTTCAGCCTCACGTAAGCTCTGATGGTTTGTTGTGGGAAGGTGAACATTTTACGTGACAGATCTGAAAAAACAGGAGAAAAAATTACCATATCATTTTCATTTGTAACTGAAGATATATTGGTCATTTAGAGTAATGCATCTGACATATTTTGCCCAAATAAAAGTCAGCTGTTATTGCAAATCCCATTCTTTCACACTTATAAAACATTAAAAAAAAAAATCTGAAAAAACAGGAGGAAAAATTACCATATCATTTTCATTTGTAACTGAAGATATATTGGTAATTTAGAGTAATGCATCTGACATATTTTGCCCAAATAAAAGTCAGCGGTTATTGCAAATCTCTTTCTTTCACACTTATAAAACATTTTTTAAAAATACATTTTAAAAAGTGGTGTTGCATGGCAGGTAAGTTAATTTTAAGAAGGTGACAAATTCCTATAAACAGTCTGGCATGCCACTATACTGTGACATTACATTTTGGCTTTCCTTCTGTTGAATGAAGAATATATGTTTTACCTTGAGGACTTGCAGCACATGTTGCCAGCATCACCAGCACAAGCAAAAACCTCATCTTAAAATTAAAAAAATAAAATAAAATAAACACCATGGAACACTTTTGGATTCAGACACATGTTGAGTTACTAACACCGTCGTGTGTGCCAAGAATTACTTTAAAATCCTACATTTTGCAGTTTATGTGTAGATCTTACCTTGAAACCAGGGGCAGGATTTTTTGCATGGCAGTAAAAAGGACTGAGTTTTATACACTCACTCCTTCCCCATTTCTGCCCGGGCGTTTCCTTCATTTGTCTACTTTTTATTCTAGGAATATGATTTTCCAGGCCAAAATGTTTCCTATGAAATTTACAGAATTTACACTTAGTGCGCATGTTGAAATAACTGCAGGCTTTCAACACACTTATGACATCCTCCCTAAAGCTGAAGTGAAGTAGACCTACGTGCTACTGTTGTTTGTAGCTTAGTGCTGAAATGAAGATGAACAAATGCTTTCAATTAATGATAAAAAAAGATGGAATATTCCCACTTTTTAAAGAATATGTTTGTGGTTATATCTACATTTAAATGTCTCTAAAATGGTATCAGCCTTATACTATACCTTGTTCGTAAATGCACTCACGACTTTGA